ATACACACACACGGCCACGCCAGACAAGCCCTCACCCCAAACCTGGGGCCAAACTCCAGATGCCCAGGGACCCACCCAGTAGCCTCTCCTGGGAGGGCCCTGACCCCAACTTGGCCGCCCTTCCCTCCCCACCCCATAGTTCACCTTACTAAGCCCCAATTGGGGCAGGGTCTCTCCTTGGGTGACCCAGAACCGACACCAGGACCTTTCTGAGCCTCAGTTTTGTGCATATGGGAAGTGGGGCCCCCCCGTACTGGTTCTGCAGAGCCCAGGCATGTTCATGTGGGCTCAGAGTAGGGGCTGATCAATGGAGTGGGAAAAAGGTTCACCCAAGAGTGGTGGGAAGGGGACCTGGGCTGGGCGAAGCCCCTCAGTGGAGACTCCAACCTAGCACAGCCCAGGCCTTCTCAGAAACATGCACCCCGCCCCCCAGCCCCAAGTGGGGCCACCTAAGTGTCAGGGATTTTCCAGTAGCCCCAGGTCTCATCCCACCCCAGGCTGCTGGGGCGGAGCAGCAGAGGTGCGGTCAAATCCAGCCGCCCTCCCCATCCTCCCCTCCTCCAGCGGCGGTTTCCAGTGACCCAAGGTCCAGGGTGAGCCCAGGGCGGGTGCCCACTGATAGGCCGGCCCAGTTCCCCCACAACAGGGTCCTCCATGCGAAGGCGGCCGCCCTGTGCCACCGGGCCTCGCTTTCGTCAGGGCCTCCTTTGGCCAGAGCGACTTTGGAAGTGATATTTGACCCCAAGGGCGCGCCGTATCGATCCCTGCGGCCGCAGACAATGGCCCCTGGACGCTTCGAGCAGCACAGTCCAAGTTCCACGTTCGATTCCTGCGGGGGTCCCTGCACGACGATTCCCAAGGGGTGTCCTGGGGTTAAGGTCCCACCCTTGACAGCACCCCAGTCCCTCTTCCCACGGAGATGACCCCTCTCCGGAAAAAAAAGCGAGGGGCGGAGGAGGAGCAAGGAACTGGGGAGGCAGACGCCAGGGGACCACCTGATGGGAGGAACTACATCCATACTGCGCCGACTGTATACACAATCCCAGGAACGGAACGGAGAGGGGGACAGGGGGCTGTGCCCTGATCTCAGAAGGGGAGTGGAGGCCCAGGAAGGTCAGCGCCAGGCCCAAGGTGACCGAGCAGGTCAGGGCCCAGGCCTGGCCTGGTTCGGCCGGGTGCAGGCGGCGGGGCGGGGCGAGGATGGGGGGCTCACCGGCAGGTGTAGCTGAGGTTG